ACAGAGGACGAACGAGCCTGAAAGGCAGCCTTCTTATCTACGTTCGACTACACTTGAAGGTTAGAGAACAAACAAAAAAACGGAAAGCGAGGATGACAGAGAATGGCACTACCTATTTATAGATATAGGGTTTTTTTAGGAACTAAGTGGGGTAATTTTACAATAGATAGATAGATAGATAGATAGATAGATAGCCAAAGTCTTAGACAAACACTGAGAGAACCGACCTTCAATGCGTAAACGTTTACGATGATTTAAATCTGTTAATGAAGCAAAGGGTTAGACACATTCAGTTTCCGGGTTAATAAAATATGCACAAGTTCTAAATAAACGCCCATTTTTAACAATAATAATATTCACGCTTCATAGTTTTTTTGAAAGGGTGAGGAGCAACAAACCTTAAACAAACAAGCTGCCCCAAAAATATACTTCAGCCCAAAATAAGAAAATAAATTAATCTTTCATATTAAATTGAATAAAATTTCGAACGGAAATCAGCCATATTTTTTCTAATGTTCCTTAATCTTCATTTAAAATGTATATTGGGGATTCACTTTCAGTCAACCTCACGGTATGTAGAATTTTAGTAAAGGTTTTTGTGTTTTATTTTATGTGACATAATATTTGATGTGATATAACATTTACTTACTTTGACGTTGAATCTTCTTGTACGTGCCGGGATCTACAGGACGAAGGTGGGATCAGGGCTCTTCGCAACTTTAGTCACCTCCCAACCGCCATTACAAAACTTCACTATGTCTTTTCTATAGATAGTTTTATTTTATCTCTTCTGGTGAGTTTTTCTCTTTGACACTTAGAGTTAATGAATGTAAGCGAAGATGGCTGCCAAGGTCTCATCATTTTACAGTTGAAATGGTTAGATGTTACCTTATGTTCCATGCTAACAGTTTCTCTCTCGCTTGTCGCTTGTCCACCCTATCGGCTGGGGCTGTAGAATATGCCAACTGCACCTCTGCAGAGGGGTAAGACCCCCACCCAATGGGGTGTCCTGCGTATGACGATAAACTACATCCGCGTCCAAGACGATAAACTATGTCCAACAGCATGGTTTCTGATAAGGAGGTTTTTAAGGAGCTTGGAGCCACCTCTTAATAATGCTGGTGTTCCTAGGTTCACCCTGACCCGGGGTGGTAGCACCTGTTAGGGTCCCAGCTATGGGCAAATAGTTAACCCCGAAACTGAGGTAAAAAGTATTATAAGTGTAAAAATAGGTTTTAATAACAGAAATACTTTGTAAAAAATTATTACCAGAAATAAATTTGTGAAGAAAAAAACTATTACCAGCAATACGTTTTTGAAAAAAATATTACCGGCAATACATGTGATTGTACTCAAAAATATGAGTAATTGAAAAATGGTTCATATATATATGTATACTTATACACCTTTTTTCCCCTAAACTATCGCTATGAATCTATTTCAAAAATTTTATTGGCATTAAATGACCCACTGTGGTTTTGATATGCCATAAAACGAAACAACCAACCAACTTGTCGCTTGTGGAACTTTCTTCCGGCTTCTTGCTTTCCAGTTAACATTGATCTTCAAAATTTTAAATGTAATGTCAATCGTTATCTTCTGTTTTCTTAAATCCTATTCTTTTATTGTCCTCTCTCCTTAATAATGCTTACACCTCACACTTAGGAAGCCCTTGCGTCTTAGTGGATTTGTTAGTTTGATTAGAGTGAATAATTCTCATATAGTTTGTAGTTTTTAGTAAGGCTTATCTTTTTACCATCCACCCTTTTCCTAATCATTTGCAATATATCATGAGGTAGCTTTCTCTGTCTCTCTTACCTTCATTAAATCCAGTAAATTTCAAACTCTCTTTGAACATTATGTGTCCCAGAAAAGTTCTCTTTCTAAATTTAAGTGCCTTTTTTTTATTTATTTCGTTTTTAATTAGTCGAGCAACAGACAAGGAATATGACAAATTAATGAGTGCATGCTTCGGGATCAGCTATAAAACGAGTCAACCCATAAACGAGGCATATAATGATTTCCTGTCCCATCATCAAAGTTCGACTCATGCACGAGACTGGTTGGAGACTTTCCAGATCTTCTAATTGTTAAACTATCAAATTGCCATATTCCTTCGATTGCAGCCAACACGCGTTCAATATTTTTCGCCGTCCATTTTCGGTTGAAACATCGGTAATAATTATTTTTCTGGGATTGGCAGATTGAATCATTTTTGCATGTCTTCTTAATGAAGAATGCACAAAATGTCTTTGTATATTTCAAATTGGTAAATACTTCTTGAAACACGGGCTCCTTCATATATATATATATATATATATATATATATATATATATATATATATATATATATGTGAAGAAATATCGTTTAAGGTGTGCTGTATTTATGGGATGAAGTGCTCAATATCAGAGATAGGCGTGTGTAAATATAAATATAAAAGTTAACACAAGTCAACACTCCAGAGGCGACAGGCTGTTTCATCCTAGATGATGATTGAATCTAGCATGAAACAGCCTGTCGCCCTGAGTGTTGACTTAATATTTTATTTTTATATATATATATATATATATATATATATATATATATAGTACTTTTGATCACCTCGAGATCATCATCAGGGGTGAATTACAAAGACAAACTTATTTTAACTCTGAGCATTGTGATAGGGATTTAAAAAAAAACAAAAAAAAAACACGCGTTCTGTTAAAATTATTTTAATTTTTTAAATTTATACATTGTGGCTATGTTTTTTTTTTGTTTTTTTTTTTTGCCAAACAAGCGTACCAATGTAAGGATGCTAACCAGAAATAAATATATATATATATATATATATATGATAAAAAATTGGTAGAAATGCGGAGGACATCGAAAGTACTTGGGTAGGAAAAAACTACGGCGCCTTCCTTGATAAATGTAATCTTAACATGAAGAAAACGTTTAGGGAACGTGAAAAACTAGAGAACTATTATAAAATAGATAGACACAATATGAAACATCTTTGGATGAAGATATGCTGCCTAAATACACAAACACACACACACGCATATATATTTTCTGTGTGTACTTTATTTATATAGATATAATTTATTGAAGTAAATGCTTTGTCTTTTAATTAAACAGTATTACTTACATTTACCGGCCTGAATGTTCGAGAAATTTCGTAGAAAATATGCGCTTCTCCGATCTTAAGGTATGTTTTGTGAGCAGAAATGATTGATCGAGAAAAGTCGTCGAAGGTGCGTATTTATAAACATGTATTCGGATTTTGCTAATCAGACGCTTATCCGTGGCTATATGACCCTTTTCCTAAGGTTACAGGTTCGATTCCTGTCGGTTTCGGCTACTTCTTACCCGTTTTCAAGGAGTGGTGGCGTCCATGAAGAAAAATTAAGAACATCCCCTTTGAGAATGCGTAATAAGTATCCGAAAGCGCTTGGGGGTGATGTACTCCGGTTTTGCATTTCATTACTCCCACTAAACGGGAAAATGTAAGAACGCTTGATAAACTAACTAAAAAATTATTTAAATTTTCCTTATCTGTCCTATTTAATGAAAGATGTTCAAAAGAAAGGTTGCTGCACATATATATATTTTACGACATTCTTATGTTTATATATTCTTTTTTATAGACACAAATTTACTGCCTTTAAACTTCACTTTCCATGAATCTCTCATTCGATCCTGCCAACCGAACGCTCCTCTGTGGACAAATCGGTTAAAGGCACGTCAGGCTATATGACGGTTCCGTATAGGATACAGGTTTGATTCCTGTCAGAGGACGCATATTTTCTATGAAAATTTCTAGAACATTCAGGATGGTAAATCTTGATAATACTGTTTATTATAAAACAGAGAATTTACTTATATATTTGTATCTATAAAAAAAAGTATGTATAAACATAAAAATGTCTTAAAATAATTGTCGGACTTTGTCTATTTCATAATATATATATATATATATATATATATATATATATATATATATATATATATATATATCCTCCTTAGGTTACCTATACAGGTTACCTAGTTTTTCATAAACTATATCTATCTCTCTCTCTCTCTCTCTATATATATATATATATATATATATATATATATATATATATATATATATATATATATATATATTATACCGGAGTGTGCTTTAAATCGTTCAGCCACAGAGAGTGTTACAACAGCTGGCAAACTTCTATTTACCTTTCTACTATTCTTTAGTATTATCTGGAAAGCTAGTCTGGTGCCCCTGCAATTCATCTCGAGGTTCTTAACAATGTAATCGATCCTGATTTAGAATCTCGACTTCAGTCACATTCTCACCGACGTGATGTGGATTCCCTCTGTCTGTATGTATAATCTAAGGAATTGGCCGAATGCGCTTAGGATAATAGACAATATGGGCAATATAGACAATTTTTTTTTGCACTGCCTTACTCCTACCAAAAAGAAAATTGTAAGAACGATGGAAAAACTAAATAAAAAGAAAAAATGATAAAATTCTCCTTGTCTGTCATATTTAAAAAAATGTTTAAAAGAAAGGTTGCTACCTAAAATTCCTCTTAAACAAATTTATATTACCGTTGCCTATAAGCCTTACCTCACGTTTCCTTTTCTCTAACCATCAAATTTACCGACCCTAAGAAAGAAACTAGCCTTGCTGATCCCACGACTTTTGTACCCTCGGCCACTGAGCCGACGCACGAGGCTAACCTCATTTATCAGTGTCCTAAGTATTAACTTCCGGTATGTCCACTAAAGTGACCGGAAACGCTTGTCCTCCATATTTAGAAAACTTGGCCATTAGGATAACGGCAAACAATTAGTTTTACTTGCTTTTTATTTCATGTAAGCAAAAGTCACCCTTTCTTGTTCACCTCGAAATTGCTTATAATAAACAAGTATTGACCAATATTATCTTTGTCAGCTCGGGACTGATCAGCAACGTGAAAACATGATATTATGTTCCTTTATTGACCAAGCAAAACATTTAGTAGGCGTCATGTCTTTTCTTTTTTTGTGCCTTTCTTTTCAACTTCCTGTCTTTTGTTGTTCTAAGTAAGTCTTGCTCCTTTACCAACTTTCTTTGTTTTGCTGTTCCTTCATCGGATTAAATTCCGTATCTTTGTGTTAAATGTAAAGATGAAATGTATCGTTTCCTTATAAGGAAACATTCCGCATTCATTGAACGAACAGCCAGTTCTACTGTCGGTAAAAATTATAAAATATTTATCTTAAAACAGTTCTTCAGGAAAATCCACTAACTGTTATCGCTCTTTCTACTACTGATTGATTTTCGTTTCTAACTTTTTGTTTAAGTTATTGTTGAAATCAACATATTAATTATGTCATTATTTGACTTTCTAGTTATACAGGGTATCCATTTTTGTTGTTGCTGCTGTTAGCAGTCTTCAAGTGATGTGGTTTTCATTATTTGGTAAAGTACTTTGTGATTGTCTAGCGCCAGTCAGTAGGATCACGAGAAGGTTTCTTTTCTTTAACGTCTATAGGACACATTCGCCTGAAGACATTTTAAATCATTTGATTTGGAAAAAAGACCGTTTTATATAGTTGATTGTTTAGTCATTTCTGAACGAGTTGTACGCTATGCATGACATGCTTAGGAGAGTATAGAATCGACAGAGTGTTTAAGAATATGACTTGAGTTATTAATCGTTTGAGTTTGTAACCTCTCTCGGGTTTGAGGGAGAAAACTACCCCCCTCTCACAGTTTATTCTGTGATACTAAAACTGTTGTAAGTAATCCCTATAACAAGGTATTTGAAATGTTTAGTATTCAGTTTTCCCACATTTTGGGTTTTATATTTAAGGGGATGTGACATCACTACTTTCATTCTGATTCCAGATTATAGTTTCTATTTTGGAAAAGTTTAGTTAAAGATGTACAAGAATTGTCCACAGTCCTTGTGAGTTCTTGTTAGTTCTTCTGACTATTTTCAGATATCAGCAAGAAAGAAAAGTAGAAATGAAATTAATTTCAAAGTTGGGTGATAATTTGCATCTTCGCGTAATTTTGAATTTGATGATTGCACACCACAAATATTCAAATTTTTCAAAAATCGTAATTGAAATCGCAATGTTGCATAAATCTAGTTTTCTATTAAATTTAAGTGATTTAAATAAAAAAAAACTGTTAATATACATATATATATATTTAAAGATTTAAAGAGAGCGAGATCATTATATCCAGTTACCCCTATGAAATAAACAAGAAGTATAAAGAAATTTGCAGAACATTTATTTGTATTTAAAATCTTTTATTTTCTTTCAATATTTGCCAAGACATTCTTATCACACATGATCTTCCATTTGTATTTAAGCGTTAACATTTTACACCAGTAATATAAATTAACTTTTTTTTTGTAATGTAAATGTATGACGATCGTATTACCGGACAAAGAGTAATACAAACGCAGATGGAATTTTGGGAAGGTATTCTGTAAATTTCCTTAACTTATTTATAAACGTATGTTTTAAACCTCCAGTAAACAAAACGATTTACAGGATGTTCTAATGATCCGTGGGAAATACAAAATTCACTTAATTTTTGTTATTTTTTATAAAATATATTTGTCAATATATTACACAGATTGTGATAATTTTAAAGATCATTTTTGGAATTCTCTCCAATTCGCGGAAAAGAATATTCCGATGAATAGAGAAATTATTAGGCTATTTCAAAATACATTTGAAATTTTATATTTATTAGGCTTAATGGATGTCAGTTATCTCCTGTTAATTTCCCTCTGAAAGTTCTCCACTGCCTTAACCGGGTATTGAACTCACATTCTTTGGGTCCTGTCACTGTATCTAACTAACGCCTTTATCCACTGTGCACATTAACAGATAATTGATAACTGACATCCATTAGACATGGCACGTGGAACTAGAACAGTCTACCTCAGTGAGCGAAATAGTCCGAATAATGTAAATAATGGGAATAATCCCTGTTCCAAAAAAGGGTGATCTAACAGGTGCGGCAAACTATAGGGGTATAACTCTCATGCTAAATGCGGCAGGCATTTACAATAAGCTTCTGTTAAATAGGATTATCTCTACTTTCGATCAACTCCACAAGAAGAACCAGAATGGATTTACAAGAACCAGGTAGGCAACTGCTCAAATCCTCTCATTCGACGAATCCTAGAAGAGATGAAAAAATTCCAGAAAGAGATCATAATCTGTTTTCCAGAATTCCAGAAAGAGATCACAATCTGTTTTCCAGAATTCCAGAAAGAGATCACAATCTGTTTTCCAGAATTCCAGAATTCCAAAAAGAGATCCCAATCAGTTTTCCAGAATTCCAGAATTCCAGAAAGAGATCACAATCTGTTTTCCAGAATTCCAAAAAGAGATCACAATCTGTTTTCCAGAATTCCAAAAAGAGATCACAATCTGTTTTCCAGAATTCCAGAAAGAGATCACAATCTGTTTTCTTAACTTTCGCAAGTTGATTCCATCCAGAGATCTCAAGTTCAAAATCCTCCAATTCTATGGTATAGCCACCAGAATTACAGAAATATGGCTGCTGCCATCATTGTGTCGCCTGATGGCGAAACTGGTTCCTTTGAAGTTAAAGTAGGAGTTCTATAATTCTTTGTGAAGGGAAAGTAAAAAAAAAAAAAAGATAATTTGGAAGAGAGAATCGAAACTATTTTTTACGTTTCTTATTCGTCTTTCGAATCTAAAAACTAAATTATTCCTGTCTAAAAGTTAAGCAAAATCGTGAATGAGTCACACAAAATACGAAATAAATAAAGAAAAGAATCAATAGAGAAACAAAGAGTCAAAAACTAAGATGATAATCGAAGTTGTAAAACGTCTATTGAATTTCCATAGATCCATTTAGTTATTTATGAAAATATTTCATTGAAGATTTCGGATAAAAAAGAATCTCATTTTTGCTAAGATTTCTAATATTCTTTCTTCAAATATTCTAGTTGCAATATGTTTGGGTGTAGATAAATGGACAAACAAGGAATTATTAATTTGTTGATTTCGATGTAGGACATTTGGAATTCTATGCATGAATGGTAAAAACAAAACAAAAACAAAAACAAAAACAGCAGAGGATATTTGAATGGTTAAAGTTTCGTTTGAACAAAACCGATGCGTGTCGCCTGGTGCCGTTAATTTGAAAGGAAATGTATGGTAAGATGGAGCGTTTTATGGTAATCGTGTGCGCATGCGCGTTCACTTGTGAGTGTCTGTATCAAGTGATTTAGTAAACATTTTTTTTTTGTTTTCTTATGATTTTTCCAGCTGCAGGGAGGGGCAGTCAGTTGGAGTCTGGGATTTCCTGATTGGATTTTGCCATCAGAGATTGTTATTTATATAATAATTCTAGAGAATGAGGGAAAATTATTGATTTGTAAACGACGTGGTTTTGGAGGGGAGCGGATTGTACAGATGTAATGTGTATGTGAGACAAAGAAGAAGGGGAGGGGGAGAAGAAAGAGGAGGTGCAGGGGAGGATGGTCAGGGGAGAAGAATGGGAGGAGGAGGGGAGAAAATGGGAGGAGGAGGGGAGAAGGAAGGGAAGTGGAGGAGGAGGGAGAGGAGGAGAAGGAGGTGGAGGAAAAGGGGAATTAGAAGAAGAAGGATAAGAAAAAGGATAAGGGAAGGAGGGAAGAAAAAGGAGAGGGGAGGAGGAGGGGAGAAGGGGAGAAGGGGCAGGAGGAGAAGGAGGAGGAGGAGAGAAGGTGAAGTATAAGAAAGAGGATAAGGGGAGTAGGATGGAAGGAGAAGGAGAAGAAGAAGAAGAAGAAGAAATGGAAATTAGATACTAAAAAAAAGGTTTCTCTTTCGTTCATATTCCTTCTTTCATTTTTATCGTTTCTCTTCTTTTTTTTTCTTGTTTTGTTTGCTTTTATCTGTTCTTTATTCTCTCTTTTCTTACTTTAATACGTTTTGATTAATAAACATGAGACCTTATCATATTTTCATAAAGTTCTCCTGAAGACATGATCCTTTTGAAAATTCTTCTATTATTTAATTATGGAACTAAGATAATCGTCAGAAACTTTCGGCTCGTCTCATTAAATGAAACCCATATGCATACACGCACGGACATAAACTATTTTTAATTCCCTTCTCTTATTCTTTATATCCTCATTGTATGTCTGTCTGTCTGTATCTCATAGAAACAAAATTAAACACTAAAAAATAATGCTGTAAAAATCCCCCCACCAAAAAAAATTAGCGAATTTTTCTAAAAGCAATCAATGGTTAACTACCAAAAGAATTTGACGCTTATGTAAAGAGATAAACAGTATAATGTTCTCTAAATCTTGTATAGTCTGGCTCAAGACCACCATATTAGGGATATTTTTCTTTAAGTCTTTCACTGGCAAGTTCACTGCAGGAACAATTCTTTTTGTTCTTCAAGCCTTTAATCGGTTTGAACCAAACCAAAGATTCTCAAGCCATGCACCGACTGACACAAAGCCAACAAACCAGCGGATATTTTCTGTTTCGCATGTCTTTCACCGGTTGGCACAAGGCTACCAAATGAGCGATTACCCTTATTCCCCCAACACTGCAACCGCAAGTACAATGTCACCAAACTAACAATGCTCTTTGTTCCAAAGCCATCCGTCAACTGGCGCAAGGACATCAAACTAACAATACTGCTTATTCCCTAAGCGTTTCATTCTTTGACACAAGACCACTATATCTGTGACTCGATCGTTTTTAACTCATGGTACCCTGAACATGATGGAGATCACTGATCGCCAAAATTTTTGATTCATTGATTGTTTGGTTCATATTTTTACGACTTATCAACACCCTTAGCAGTTTATTTAAAACCAGAAAATATTTTTAGATTGTAATATTTTTTTTTAGCTAGTAATGGTTTAGTGATACAAGTCTTACTAATTAACCCATAGCTGGAGGGTGAAGAATCAGAATTTCACAAACAAACAAAAAAACTATATTGTGGATATAAAGTGGGGGATCATATCTATATAACAATCAATGTAGTTTCTATACATTTATATTCCAGAGAATTTAAATAAATATAAGCGATTGATTCG